TGAGTGCATGGGCTGTTGAAAAGGACTGAAACTGATCTCCTATTTCTACAGCGAAATATCTGCCACCATTTACACGGGTCCTGTTTATATTTCCATGTCACTCTAGGTGCGAGTGTTTACCAGGTTATGTGGGCCAACACTGTGAGCAGGACTATAATGACTGTCTGGAGAATAAGTGTCAACACGGAGCGGAGTGTGTCGACGCTGTCAACGGCTATACCTGCGTCTGTAGAGAGGGTTTCAGGTAGAGTCATGGAAACAAATCATCAAGATAGTAAATCACTTGAACAGACACGAATGCACTTACGGTACACACACACTGCTGGGCCAGACCGGGAGGAGATACAGATGGCACTTCATAATCAGACACTTGACTGTTTGGACCTACTGTGTGAGTGTGAGTGTGTGTGTGTGTGTGCAGCAGATGCAGCTCCATGTGGTTAATTATAGTGGAAACTGTTGGCAAGAGAGAAACAAATTCATCACAAGGGACAGAAAGAAAAAGACAGAAAGAAGAATTCATAGATAGATGAAGAAATGGGTAAAAAAGAGGAGAAAAAGATTTCAGAGTTTGTTGCAAGAAGATTCAGGGTAAAACAAGTAGATATACAGAATCTGTTTGTCATATATTTCAAGAATGTTACTTTCCATCTTCACCAGTGCATCTACGGATGTAATGTAATGAGGCAAATCATAGAACAAATACTAAACTGCTTAAATCAGAGGATCCAGATGCAACAAATCACCCTATTAAGACTCTATAAACAGGTTATCTACTGTTTAATCTGCTCCTCCCTCAGTGGGCTGTTCTGCGAGAACCCTCCACCAATGATTTTGCTGCAAACCAGCCCCTGCGACCAATCGGACTGCCAGAACGGCGCCCAGTGCCTGGTGGTTACTGGAGAGCCCATCTGCCGATGCATGCCCGGTTTCTACGGCAACAAATGTGACAAGATGGCCACCGTTCACTTCCTGGGTCGTGATGGATATGTGGAGCTGCCGGGCACAAAACTCCGTCCAACTGCTCATATTTCATTACAGGTACAGTCGACCTTTGACCCCTGCCTCCACAGTCTGAGTTTAAAGTTGTAGAAATCCAGTAGTCATGCAGGTATTTAAAGAAACTTTAAACATTTGTATAAATTGCCCAAATATCCTGTATTACTTGGAAATTAAAAGCACTTTAAACATGTCAGCCCTTTTGCTGCACTACATGAAAAACATTTTTAGGCTGCTTGAAACAGAGCAGTGAGTTGCTCAAATCAAGCCTATAGAGTTGCATGACTTAGTTCCGACGAAGCAAAGCAAACATCTGCTATGGCCTCTGTTCCCAAGGCACACTGAACACGGGTTCTGTGCACATACACAAACACAGACTACACATTTTGAACTCTTGAGAGTTATATACTTATAGAGAGACATGTTCTTTCCTCTCATTTCCCTTTTTGGAAATGAGAGAAAAACAAAAAAGGGAAGGCAATCTAATTGATATTTACCACCTGTTTGGAGTCATGTAAGCACATGGGCATGTGTGTGCTTCTGCACTCCTGTCAGGAGCTTTCAATGTCAGTGCCAAGGCTGTTAAAACTCTACCAAGAGACCCTGTTCTGAGGCAAGGCAGAGAAAATAAAAGAAGAATGAAAGGTCCACAGCACTTCATAAATTACTCCATGTTTTCTCACACTTTTTCTCTTTTTTCTTTCAATTTGTATCCCCATTCTTTCTTCAGCCATCTCCTTCTATCCCCCTTCTCTCTCTCTGTTTTGTTCTCTACATCTCTTCATGATGTACCTCCATCTCTTCTTTTCTCTGTCAGCTTGTTAGCAGGTGTTGACTTGGCTATGCTCCATTGAAACCAGAGTGTTAAGTGCTTGGCCTCATGGCCCCATTTCCGCTCGCTAGTTAGTTAGTGCTTAGCGGAGCACACAGTGTGACATATCAAGTGTGTGTGCAGGTGGAAGGTGCAGAAGACCTTGTTTAAGGATGTGTGTGGTGGAATTTAAATTTTCTCCTCATTTTCTTTCACAGTTTGAATGTGTGACATACCATTTTCCATCAAAAATCACTTTTTCATTTACCAGGATTTGGAACTAAAGTATAACATTTTCAGGCTTCATGAGCTATAATCTAATTCAGTGCCATCTATGTAGGTGCTTCGCCAGGTTGAAGCAATGTGAGAGCAAAAAAAGCAGCAAGCTCTGGGGATTACAATAATGCTAAGACAGCCAGCTGTAAATAATGGGGAACACAGTAATACTCAAAACATGCCACCAAGATGTAAAACTTTTAAAAGCAAGCTGACAACGTTATAATGGAAAAATTAACCAGTGAAAGGTTATTATAAGTATTGTGTTTTTAAATCAACCAGTTTACTTGTAGCTGAACACAGTACACCAGTAATACGAAAAGGAAGGTGTTGACGCATCATGCAGTATATAATGTGTGTGAGAGAGAGAGAACCATCTTAAAATGTGTTTGTCTCTCCAGGTGGCTACAGATAAAGACAACGGTATTTTGTTGTATAAGGAGGACCACGACCCTCTGGCTCTGGAGCTGTACCAGGGACACATACGACTCATCTATGACATCGCCAACTACCCGCCTACCACTGTGTATAGGTAGGACACACAGAGAAAATGTACTCTCACTTTCTTAGCATCTACATCAAATTATGATTTGCCAGATCCATCCACTCAGTATATGATTCTGAAGGTTAGATATAAACATGGTTTAAGAACTTTAAAGGTAAAAAAAATCTCACACATCCATTGTTAACTCATAGATTGGTGCAAATTAAATGGAAAAACTACATATAATGTCTCAGTAAGATGTTGGGCCATCATGTGTCACCAGAACAGCTTCAATGCACCTTGGCATTGATTCTACAAGTCTCTGAACTCTAGTGGAAGATGAACACCTTTCTTCTAAAAGACATTCCCTCATGTAGTGTTTTTGATTTTTGATTATGGTGGTGGAGACGCTGTCGGACATGTTGGTCCAGAATCTCTCATGGGTGTTAAATTAGGTTGAGAACTGGTGACTGTGAAGGTCAATGAATATGATTCACATCATTTTCATACTCACATTATGACATTATCATCCTGGAAGAGACCACTTATTTATTTATGGTTTTCCTTTAATTTGTCACCTCTCTGTATATATAGTATGAACACTTCAGTTTACATTGACTTAGAAGAGCTGCATTTATTCACTTCAGTTGAATTAGATTTATATTATGCACTCAACTCCGATGATACAAATATACAAGGTAGTTTAAGCACACAAACAAAATCAAATAGCACAAAAAGCGTTTGATATGGTTTACATGTCATTCGTTCACAGAAAGCAAAAACCATTCATTCACATACAGACATATCTTTCAAATCACTTACTTTAATCCAGTGAATGAACCTATAGCATTTACAAGATGTTACAGAGGTTCAAGGTGGTGCAGGGGTAGTTAAGAATACAAAAAGCATACAACAGCTAAAGGTTCCAAAGAGCCAAGGTTTTTATAAACAGCACTTTAAAGGCTGTTGAGTATATAAACAGCACGTTAAAGGCTGTTGAGTAGGTGTACACAAGTCGGCCAGTGTAGTCTTCCCCCCCCCCACAGCCCCCCTCCCTCAACACACATAAACAGATCTAAGCATTTCACTCTATAAAGAAACATGAATTTAGAGAAATTCCTTTACAATCCTGATTAGATTGTTTGTCCCTGAGAGAAACATAATAAAAGTCTCTGTAGGTAACTCTTCAAAGAATGAAAACAAAAGCCTTCATTCATGTTCACTGTTTTCCTATGGATGTTATAACATAAATTATATTAACAGTTTTATAAGAATGGTTGTTCCATTGTAAGCTATGAAAACAGCAATGGTAATGGAGGAAAGTAACATGATAATGGTTTCAGTGGTCACCATTTGGGGTTTTTATACGACACGTTGCACTACAAAGCAAAGAAAACATAAATATCCAACATCTTCACAACACATCAAAACATCAAACCTAACATTAGAAAAGGTACAAGACACAAATTCAAAATTCAATAATTCATCAGCATAATCACCAAAGACACAGCGAAAACCTTTTCCCACTTTTCCAATATTCAGCTTAGTGCATCTTCCTAAAACAAGAAGGAACACTGCTTCTTAAGTAGAGGTGTGACAAACACCCTTGCTTCCAATGCAGGGTAGAAGTGCTGTCAGTGCTACTGTTAGAAAGGTTCTGATATAACCACTGAATGATTAAAAAAAAGCAAAATGAAAAATAAATTCTACAAGACATAGTCATCTTTCTTGGAGTGTGAGTAGGGCCCGGCCTTTTCAGGATAATGTATACAGTAGGTATTACACAAGCCAAAGGATGAAGCACCCACTGTTGCAAGAACTGCTTGAAAAATTAAAGTCATAAATAAAGTGTTTTTAAAAAGAAAGAAGCAAAATATAGTTTTGAGAAAGAAAAATTACACTGTAAGTCAAAACCCAGCCAGGTTAAATACACATCCTGTATCATGATGCCAGGACTTTTGTGAGGCTGACCTATATAACATACCCTGTGTAAGGAGTTGTAGTATAAACAGTGACAAGCTACCTAAATTATTATTGTAAGCTTTGATACAAGCCAGTTAACTTAAAACCAAACTTCAGTCAACAATCCTCATTGTTTTTGGTATAATTTAGTCATAACAACAGAACTGAAAACAGTTTGAGCAATAAAAACAGTGTGTGCTATAGATGTACAGTGTGTTCCAGCCTGTATGGAAACACCCCAAAGTGATGTCTTATCGACTCCCTCTGTCTTTGCCACAGAACTGACTAAAAGGGTGATCATAGGAGGCACAGAGGAGAAGCAGGGGGTTATGACAAAAAGAAAAGATAAAAAGAATAGAAGAAATAAAGAGAAGAAAGAGAGGACTGATCAACTTTAGGTTGCAGTCAACATGGGGGGGTGTCCATCTTTGTCTGGTGCTGATTGGCTCCTATTGATTCTGTCTGCTCTGTCCACACTGTCTGTAGTAGAAAGTAAGAAAGGAGACGGATATATGATACAAGGTTCAATACCACATTGTCTTGGGTATTTTTGCTTTGCAACACAGGCACAGCCAACAGTGCACAGTATGCTAAACACGGATCACCTTCATTAAACAACACAAACTGCTCATTGTTATTGAAATAAAAACCTATAATCAAAAATAATAGGCAAGATGATTGGCCACCAGTCTAGTCTTTGTAGAAGTGTAGAAAGAGGCTAGACACGGTGGAATTAAGCATCATATACTGATTCTATTTGTCCTTTGTTTCAAAAACGTGAGAAGGTAAGTAGGTAGGTTTATTATTGCACAAGGCAGGGAGAGGACACTGCCCTGCAAGTCTAAATACAGTTAAAGTTAGATAATGGAAGGAGTTTAAATCTGATGGAAAAATTGCTTCAATAGACCAGCGTGGCGAGAAGCAAAAATCTCTTCAACCTGTAAAAGCAACAATATTAACTGCAACAGGAAACAGGCAGTTTTTATGGAGGTTTGGGCATAATATTGAAAAACATGAGCGCCCACAACACAGAGGCAAGACAGACGATACCAATTATCTTGTCCAAGGTTTCTTTCTTAGGGAACTTATACCATGGTATGAAAAGGAATTTAACAGTCTTATATAAATACTGAAAATGTTTTTACCACTTTTAAATGATCACAGTAGTCAGATGTTAGTGTACAGTAACTGAACAAATGATGAGTGCAGGAAGGCAGCGGAGAAGGTAGTGATAAAGAAATAAGAGAAGATAAAGCAGAGAGGAAAATGAGGGAGAGAGTTTATTGCTTTTTCATTCTCTCCCCATTTTTCTTTCTATATGAGACATCTACATCTGGCTTTGTGGTTTTGGCTGTGCTGTGTGCTATTGTCTCTGTGGAGAGAGACAGGGTCACAGGAGAAGAACGGGATACTGGTACCCTCACAGTTTCTGATGATAATATGCAGTCTGCTCAGAACAAATTTGACTTTAGGATTAGGACATTACATCATGCTTCAAATCCTGCAATTACTGTAGCTGTGGGAGAAAAAAATTAAAGGCACACTTTACTATGTCAAAGGCAAGACTGTTTCTGCTTCACATATTTCAGTCATAATGCATTTAAACCTTCAGGATTTTTGCATGCATACTTTAAGAACTTTAAGCAATCAAGCAATCACAGTAAAATGTGCCAATATTTTAAATTTGTCCATTTGAATTTGGCTTATTCTGTAGTATATTGTAGATGTGCATGTTTGCAGTGAATACATGTGGGACAGGAACCTAAATTATAACTGATGCATGTTAATCCAGTTTACTTCACATATGAAATTCAGGGGACAAATTATCAGGGCTTGCTGGTAATAGTTTAATGTAAGATGTTAACTTGTTAACAGCCATGTGGCCGACATCCATGTGGTTCTGTTTATACTACAGTTGGTGTCTGCATACACAAATGCGTTCACATGTTTGTCAGTACGTATGGTCCACACATGTAGTCCACTAGGTTATAAATGTTGGGCTGCAAGTGGGCGGTCTGTGTCGACTCTGCAGTCGGTTTGTGCCATGTGGCTTTAGTAGGACAGGACAATAGTGCAGTTTGTCCCAGTTTCAGTGACAGCTGCTTTGTATGAACATGGTGTCAGCATTCACAATGTTTAGGTTTTGCCTTTACGGTGACACTGCTTGTGTTGTAGTTTCATAAACATACAGTATTCAGCAGTGTTTCTTGGGATACTTGTTAAATGTACTTATGGAAAGTGACCCTCTTCCACACTTGATACAGCATAGTCAGATTTTAAAAGTTAAACTGAGTGCATCAACCTCCGTATGTAGAGGCTGTTTACTATAGTGTCACATTGTACTAGTGCGTGTGCACTTTGTATGCTGTCTTCAGTGACCTTTGATAAAGTGATGCTTACAAACAATTATAATAATATTATGATTCCATATTGAACTATATATATTCATTTTTTCCCACACCCCCTGCTATGGAAGCCATAGTTCAGGGTCATCTGTAGAGCTGCAGCCATGGAGTTGTTGAGACTATGATGCCATGAAGGAGATGTCTGCCAAGAGGTCATCTGGGTAGAAAGACCATCTTATTGGCCATAAAAACAACTTGCTACCTTGTTGAATTTTTCTACTTTGATATAGATTTCTGCAGTCTGTGCACTTCCCATTTCTGTGGTGATAATGTGTCTCTTCTCATGAATGAGGCCGGTTTTGTAATCTGGGTGGGTAGCTGTGTAGAAATCCCCGAATTATCCCAAACATGACCTTAAGCAGAATATGTGCTGGCGTTCACAATATGAGACATGGTGAAAGGCAAGAGACTGACACGAAGAAGGGATGCTTGGAAATGAAAGAAGGCTTAAAATGAAACAACAGAAACAATGAGGTGAATCTAATTAGTCGCTGGCACAGATGGGGAGGGGTGGAGACTTGGGCTGAGGAGGAGAGAGAAAAGGACAAGCAGAGGGACATATGGATCCGTAGAATGACAGACTGATTGCCTGAGAGACATACATGCAGTAGAGAGAGAGACAGCCAGAAAGGCAGATGGATGGACTGATGCTGAACGGAAGGCATGAATAAAATAACAGAC